TGACTAGATCTTGATTTTGCTTGGCTTGCACTCCAAACAAATCCACATCACACGTCCTTTTGTAGTCGGCTGCCTCGCACGCACACGCCTAACCGCCTTTGCGCGCGCCGACCTCCGAGACCTAATCCTTGTCGCGCGCGGCATCGCGTGCGCGCGCCCCGCACGCGTCACCATCCGCGCATGTCCGCTGGCCACGGTCTTCCTCTCGCGCGTGTTCGCCCAGCGCTCTAATCCTTCGAGGCGTATGCCTCATCCGTTATCCTCGCACGACATTCCTATGCCCGCAAGGACACGGTTCTCGCACGCGTCGCCGGTACTCGCGCGCTCCCCGCACGCCTCGCCCCAGCTGGCCAATGCCCACACGTTCCAGCCGCCTTCCGCGCGCCAATCGCCTACGGCGCGCCCTACCGCGTCCCTTATTCTGCGCGTCGCATCCATCGCCCGCGGGCTCCGATCGCCTCCAGCGCATCCCCGTGCGCCCGCTGCGTCGCACGCCTCTCCCCTGCCAGCGGACCGCTCACCCGCCGCTACGCCCCCGAACGCCAACGCGTCCCAGTCGACGTCCGCGACTCGCCCGCCAACCGAACTCCCGCGTACGTCATCCTGTTCCGTCCACCCGCGCGCATCATGGGCCGATGCGCGCCCTTCGCCCATTAGCCGATCGTTGCCGCCCTTCTCGTTGCCGACCGTCACCGTGGGTTCGGGCCATGGGTCCCAACCCTTTAACTGCTCACAACCCTCGGCCGGTATCCACCATCCTTTGTCAACCCATCGCAACCCACGTCTATTAGCCTCCTTCCTTCGGGCTCGTCTCTTCCTTGTACAAGGCTTACACCAACAACATGATTCCTTAGTCTTCGCCTTGCGTTTTCTTTGTGCTCGTTTGGTCTTGCGCTTCTTGATCTTCAATTTAGCCCGTGGACCACATCCTTTCGGCCAATCTCGTACGCATGATGGTCGATAAATCGGACTAGATGGCCCCTCTAACATGTTCTCCAACCAAATATCGAGCCCATCGTCCTCCTCCTTGTCGGACTCGCCGGGGTTGATGACCACTTCCGTATCATTCCCCTCCTCTTCAAGAATTTCCTTGTCCTCAAGGATTAGAAAGTTAAGCGCCCCATCATCTTCACGGTTTAGAACTTCACCCACCCTTGCTCCTTGCCCCTCCATGAGTTGTCGCTCGTACGCTTCTCGATTTCTTCGTTCATGGAGCTCGTCTATACATGTGCTCTCCCATGGGGTAAGTTCTCTCTCCAAACTCTCCAACAATTTGAGATCTTCCCAATCCATCTCGTCCATTGGTGGGTAAGACATGATTTTTTTTTTTTTTTGACTCTATAAAAATCGAAAATAAAAGAAGAAGAATTCAAACAAATTCGAATCTAGGGGAGGAAAAAATAACAAAAGACTAGATGACACTTTTTTTTTTTTTTATACTCACGAAATTTCGAAAAATTTCGAACAAAAGACACCAAAAAATCGAACAAAAAGAAGAAAAAAGAATGGGATAGGAAAAGTTCACGAACACCAAATCAATCACTCTCAATGAAAGCACCAATGATGAAGGATCGGGGGTTCGTGTCCTCGACTTGTCTCGATCACGGCTTCGCCACGGCCTTGCTCTCGACGATAGGTGTGATCGACTCGGTTATTAGCCTGACTCTCTCACGATACTTGAGTTCACTTGGTTATTAGCCTCGTTTCACTCGCGAAATAGATCGGGTCTTAGCCTCTCTAAATCGTTGAACTGGTTCGGGTCTTAGCCCCACCAATTCGATTTGTATGATCGAATCTCACGACTCTCAATACACGGTTCGAACTAACGTTCTTTTCTATTCCATTCCTAGACTCCCAAAAACAATGGGGGATGGTCCCTATTTATAGATCCTAACTATGACTAATTTTAATCTACTTAGGAAACATATTAAAGCAATAAAATATTAAATAACCTATACATTCTATATATTATTGTGCAAGAAGGAAACTAAATATCTAAAGTCCTAAATTGACTAGATCTTGATTTTGCTTGGCTTGCACTCTAAACAAATCCACATCACACGTCCTTTTGTAGTCGGCCGCCTCGCACGCACACGCCTAACCGCCTTTGCGCGCGCCGACCTCCGAGACCTAATCCTTGTCGCGCGCGGCATCGCGTGCGCGCGCCCCGCACGCGTCACCATCCGCGCAT